GGTCCGGGCTAGGGATTCGAACCCGCCACCTTAGGTGTACGTGGCTGGCGCCTTAGCCGGTTGAGCTATAGGCGCCGAGCCCTTTGTGACCTTTAATTAGGCAATAGCTTCAGAGATATGAAATCAAAAGCACAAACCAAAGAAAAAATAGATAAGTTGGACTTTATCAAAATTTGACATATTCATAAGAAAAAGTAAGATTTTTGAACTTCAAAGCGCTTTCTCAAGAAAGTGAAAATACAACCCACAGAAAGAGAAAAAAAAATTAAAACACAACAGAAAACAAAGTACAAATTTCAAGTCAGCCTAACTCCTGCTACTCAGTGAGAACTATTGTTAACATTGATTCAGACAAAATAAATAGATATGCTACTCTTTTTGTTTTATCTTGACTTAGTTTCACAGATATCTATTTGTGTCTATAACACAGACCTACATGCATCGTATTTCACAGTATGGATGTACCATAATTTATTTAAGGATTGCCTTAAATAAAAGTTAGGTTTTTTCTAGTTTTTCACTATTATAAAGTATTTTCTTTGTACATCTATAAATTCATATGCACACTTGTCCAGCTATCTCCTATAAATGGAATCACTGAGTAAAATGTTATGCATTTTTTAAATTTTGGCAAAAATTCTCACATTTCCTCCAAGGAATTTTATACTAGTTTAAACTTTATCTACCAACAGTATGTGAAAATACCCATTTCTGTGTTTTTCAAATTCATCTTAAATAATTAATTTTAATGTGTTCCACTGTGCATTATTTGTGCCCCTTTCCCATTTTTAAATTTTAAGCTCAGTGGCAATAAGAGAATTGTGTTCTTGGCATAAAACTTACTGAATTGGGGGCACCCGAAGCTCCCTGGTCAGGGCACCAGCTACATGCTCTGGGGCTGGTGGGTTCAAACCCAGCCTGGGCCTGCTAAACAAAAAAAAAAATAGCTGGACATTGTGGCAAATGCCTGTAGTCCTAGCTACTAGGGAGGCTGAGGCAAGAAAATCACTTGAGCCCAAGAGTTTGAGGTTGCTGTGAGCTATGACACTACAGCACTCTACACTCTACTGAGTATGACAAAGTGAGATTCTGTCTCAATTAAAAAAAAAAAAGAACTTACTGAGTTAATTGCAATTCTTATAATCTATACACAGAAAATCATAAACAAGAAAAAAAATCATCCACCACTCAATCTAAATTTGGATGTGTATGAGAACTTAGGTTTATAAACAAAAACCTTTGAGTGCCTTACCGTGAAGGGTAGAAATTGCCACATTTGGTGGCTCGCTCCTGTAATCCTAGCAATCTGGGAGGCCAAGGTTGGTGGATTGCTTGAGCTCAGGAGTTTGAACCCAGCCTGAGCAAGAGTGAGACCCCTGTCTCTACTAAAAATAGAAAAACTAAGGCAAGAGGATCACTTGAGCCCCAAACAGTTGAAGATTGCTGTGAGCTCTGATGATGCCATGACACTCTATGTGGGGTTACAGCTTGAGATTCTATCTCAAAAAAAAAAAAGATAAAAAGAAGGGTAGAAAGAAACCCTAAATGTGGTGATGGTGAAGAAACAACAGAAGTCACTTCCTTGGATCTTTCTGTGGGCAGGTAATATCAGATGTTTGGATTTCTTGCTGGGTATACATCATTGTTGCTGTGGTTGCTATTCTTGTTTTACTGGAAAGGTTTGGATAATTTTTGGCATGAGGGTTTATATTTTAACATAATTGCTACTAGTGGAATAATGAGAACGTAGTAGGCATCCAGGTAGCCTTTATCAATTGAACATTAAAGCTTAAATGTTGGGCCGTGCCTGTGGCTCAGTAAGGCGCCGGCCCCATATACCGAGGGTGGCAAGTTCAAACCTGGCCCCGGCCGAACTGCAACCAAAAAATAGCCAGGCATTGTGGCAGGTGCCTGTAGTCCCAGCTACTCAGGAGGCCGAGGCAAGAATTGCTTAACCCAGGAGTTGAAGGTTGCTGTGAGCTGTGTGACACCACGGCACTCTACCAAGGAGAGAGACTCTGTCTCTACAAAAAAAAGCCAAAAAAACTTAAATGTTAAGTTCTTCTAGAATAAGATGTGTTAAAATGTAGATTTGATGCTCCTTATTTTATCTTTATTTCTTACATTTCAAACTTACTAGCTTTTTCTTTTCCTTAAGAAGCAGAAACTTGTGAAACAGTTGCCTTTAACTTCTATATGCTTGGAAACAGATTCACCTGCACTAGGACCAGAAAAACAGGTAAGTGATTTTGTAATTTCTACATTATTTAGAATACTTTCAGTTGCTATTTTTGTTTTAGCATGTTTCTTGTTACAGTGGAATCCTATTATAATGCGAGGTTGAGGGGTTATATTAAGTTTATTTCAAGTTTTTTTCTAAATATAGCTGTTGTGCCTCAGTGAGTATTACTTGATTAGGAGTATGTCCCAATCTATGTAATAGTGAGAGCAAGGCCATCATAATACAGCCAGAAAGATATTCAAATCCCATCTGCTATATACTAGCTGACTTTGGGCAAGCTACTTAATCTTTTTTTTTTTTGGTTGCAGCCATCATTGTTGTTTGGCGGGCCCGGGCTAGATTCGAACCCACCACCTTAGGTGTATGTGGCTGGCGCCTTAGCCGCTTGAGCCACAGGCGCCAAGCCCAAGCTACTTAATCTTTCTGAAACAGTTTGCACATTATACCATAGGTAAAATAATAAAATTCTTTAAAGGCTTATGGTAAGGATTGCATGAAGTAATGTATGTAAAAATGCCTAGCAGTACGGTATACACTAGGTGCTCAATAAACATTCATTTTTCCTTTTTCAATTATTATGTTATAATGAAGCTCTGTTTCTTTTGGTATAAGTATTGTTGTAGCATTGAATTATTTATGTGATCTTTGCTATAATATCTCATTATATTATAGGCCACAAAGAATCATTTTAAATTTCATGCTCTTTCATATTGCTACTCTTGTAAATTATAATGTTCTGAAAGAAAACTATCTGCTTTATTGCTTTAGACAGTGCCTCTTGCAATGACCTCCCAATGTGCAATTTAATAACTGACTGCTCATCACCTCTGTGTCTTAATGCCTACCAAATTCACATTAGAAGTTTGGGAGCAGTAGTGGTTATTATACGATTATTAGTAAACTATGATCATGTATGATTACCATATGTATTTTGATAATTGATATCCAAATAATTTTTTTGAAAGGAGGTGAAACTATAATTGTAAATAGATTTTGCTTTTATCTCTCCAGAACCAAAAATAACCACAATTAGTAAAATAATTCAGTACATGAAAGTAATCAAAAAATTAACAGCGTCTGTTCATGAATAGAATTAGAAAGTACAAAGACTGAAAATCTCCCTTTGTGACAGCAATAAATATAATAAAATACTTAGGTATATAATCAATAAGAATTAAGCAAGTTTTATATGTAGAAAAATCTTTCCTATGTTACTGGTAAGACTAGAGCAAATGGCAGCACCATAGTTTAACATGAGAAAATTCAACATCATAATGACTTCAAATCTCTTTAAGTCAACCTAGAGGTTTCATAAGATCTAAATACAAACAATAAGATTATTTTAGGAATCAGAACAAGTGATTCTAAATTTTCTGTGGAAAAATAAACGAGCAATAGTTGCCAAGAATTCTCTCCAAATGAAAAGTGATGAGAGATATCGCATCGCTCTAGACAAATGGGGACTTTGTGGAAATGAAAGGTAAAGGGCAAAGTCACTGGAGGATTTTTTTTTCCAAAGTCTCAAAAAATGGACAGCTAATATTTATAAATTAAAATAGAAAATAATTTCAAAAAAAACAGATCATGCTATCTTATAGATAAAAGAAAAAGAAGAAATACTTCAGATTCATTCTACTTCATCTGAATATACCTGATATTAAAACTGGAAAAAATATATTATTATAAAAGGAAATTACAAACATATTTCACTTATAAATGAGGATGCAATATCCTAAACACCATATTAACAAGTTGAATTAAAAATTATTGTTGGCTCGGCGCCTGTGGCTCAAGCGGCTAAGGCACCAGCCACATACACCTAAGGTGGCAGGTTCGAATCCCCAGCCCGGGCCTGCCAAACAACAATGATGG